TCAGGGAGCAACACCTTTATTTGACAGGTGATGTCACTGTCTGATCACTGAAAATCTAGCAGACCCCCTCCCCCCCCAAAAATAAAGATCGACATGCTCAGGGAAGAGCAGGCAGGGAAGTTCGCAAGCTCAGGTTTAGATAATCGTGAGCAGAAGTGGTTTCTGATTAGAATAAAGTGGAGGATATGGCCCCGGACGTGAGCAGAGATGAACTCAATGGTGTATCAAAAGGCAAGAAAGAAGAGGAAGCAGAAATGAACGCGCGGAGACTGGGGTGTGGGGACAGTGTCGACATTCATATTAAAACTAGGGGAAGTGAGAAGACGGAGGACACTGGGACGAAAGGCAGAGAACAGGGTGAGCGTTTCTGTCTGCGAAGGCGGGCGGGGGCGGAAGGGGATGGCGACCACCCCTACTCCTCACAGCCCTGATTTCCGTTGGGGGAGGAACATTCTGCCACAAGGCCAAGTTCCCCACCTTAGGGAAAGGGGAGCCAGGCGGAGAGTCTGGGAGGCCTGCCGTACCAAGACAGAGCCCAGTGAGGTGCAAGGAACAGACTAGAACATTCCTGGTCCAAATCCTGGTCGATCTCTTAGCTCTTGTCGGCCAAGGCCTCGATGCCTAAGTTTTCTCCTGTGAAACAGAGTAAAACCTGCCCTGCCTCAGATGAAATTATTTGAAAAGTTGTTTGAAAACCTATGATAATTTTTAAAACACTCCACGCATACCAACATACACAGCTGTTAACTGTTAAGCAATTCTTGTGTCAGGCACTTGTAAATTATAACATTTAATGATCCAAATAATCATACAAAGCAGATGCTATTGTCATCCGCATCCTAAAAACGAGGAAACGAAGGCTTAAACATGGGAGGAGATGAAACATCTCGCCCAAGGCAAACGACCTGTCGGTAGCAGGGCTGGCTCTGAGTCCCACGCCCTCACTCCCGCACTGGGGTGGAGCAGCTCCGACTTCACCCCTGACCTTGAGGAGCATGGACGAGGCAAGATTGTCCCTTCCAGCAGATATCCTGGCAACCTCCCTGCCGGCTGAGGGCTCCCCCATGCCCTTTGCCTTCCTACCTTGGAAGAGTGGCTGCTTGCTACCAGGGTCGGTGCTGGCTGCGAAGTCGCGGCTGACGGAGTTGGGGCTGAGGCTGGCTTTGCCGCCACCATCCAGCTGCTGCTCCAGCTGCAGTCGCAGGCAGTTGTTCACCTGAATGCTCTGCTCCAGCTGCCCTCGCAAAGCTCGGATCTCTGTCACCAGGTGGCTCAAGTCGCTGCTCAAAGGGTGACAGGCATCCCAGGCGCAAGCTGAAAGAAGACAGAGGCGGGGTTGGTAACAGTGATCCAAGTATTTCCACGCATTTGTCAGAACACTCTCCTGTGACATTCTCCTCGGCCGAGGACCCCACTGTCATCTCAGCGTCCCAGGCCACACATCCGTGATGGAAATGTCGCTTTCCTTGTGTGCGGCCTGGCACACACTGAGATGGCACACACTCCAGTGTGGAATTTTCCTGAAGCTCAGATTACCCACATGCATCCAGAGGGAGTCTGACCAGCAGATGAGGCCAAGCCAATCACTTCACCTCCACATTAACCTTAGTCCTGCAGGCCGGAGAGCAGGGTCTTCCAAGACCAGAGGTCGGCATTGAACTAGCACTGAACTGGGGCAGGGGCTGAGGGAGGAGGAGAAGTGATAACCTCCATCGCGCACCTATTTTGTTTGGAAAACTCGAACTCATTTCCACTGCCTGCTTCACAGAGTGTGCACTTCCATCCTGCCTCGTGGGCCTCCCACACACCGCCAGGCCCCCCGACCGCTCGCAGCTCCTGACACAAAGCTCTCCTGTGGGCCCTTGGTCTCCTCCCAGCCCGCAGTGCACGGCCGTTAACGTAAAGCTGCCCTCTCGGTACGCTGTGTCCCCCGCGCTTCGAGTTCCGGTCCACCTTCCCATCAGCGAATTAGGAAACTCGATCAGGTTTTATGAAAACTCAAACTTGGCTGAATAGTGAAAATTCTTAATATAATAACCCATATTGCTCATGGAATTTTTAAACATATAACCAAGGAAGTTCAAGGGTGGAAGGCTCAGGGAGTCAACACGCCATCCAAGGCGAGAACTGCCTCTGTGGATTTCCTGACAAAGCCTCCCCTTCCCTTGAAACAGGGTTGGGCGGGGAGCTCCCTCGCTCTAGCGGGAAGGAAAGCGTTAATTACGCAGCGATCCGAACTCCACTGCCCATCACTGTCTGGCCTTGTTCAGCCTTCTGAAGGGAAACAAAGCACATTAGCTCCTCCTCACCTGACAGTTCTTCAAATATTTCAAGCCAGATCTCAGTTTCTCGTGATCTTTTCCAAGCCTAAGAATTTTCAGTTTCTTCAATCAGTTTGAGATTTCCGGTCCCTCGGCCTGTGGCCAATGTTTTCGGCATGTTCTTCAGTTTGTCAACGTCCCTTTTACGAGATGGTGCCCCACAACCTAACAATATTTCTGGCTTGGTCTCACTGTAGGGACACCACACTCAGGCCACGGTGGTCTCGGGTCGAGGTGGCTTTTCTAGCAACCTTGACCTACAACTCCCTCGTGCATCCGTGTTTCTACCCACCTCTCATGTCCTTAAGCCCATGAACGGTCACAGGGCCAGGCCGCCTGGCCTGCGTTTCTACCCCTGATACTTTAAGTCAAGTTCAGGATTTTATCTTTTCTCTTTGCTAAATTTTACTTCGTTGACATCAGCCTCTGTTCTAGCCCGCTTGGATTTAACTTTATATTTAGAATACTCTCCCCCATTTGAAGAAAGATGGGGAAATGGAACAAAATTCTCAAATATCAATTATTATTTCAGCAGGTGGCAAAATTCCTTAATAAGAGAGTTTAAAATTTAAATCTAAGCCTGAAATGTAGGTCCTATTAGTGGTATTTCTGTAAGTTGTTTTGTATGTTGTAATGTTCTCACAGGCTGTCTGTACCCTGGCTGCATAGGGGTCAGTGTGTACTAGTATTCAAGACCTTTTCGAATGATGATGCCTTCGAGACAGTTCTTTGTATTAAAAAAAAAAATCACTGTATCATCTGGACTCGTTTCTGGCCATCTAGGTGAGTGAAGTTTGACTCTTGTGACCTATTTTTAAGGAGGCCTAGGCTGAATCTTGCTCATGTCCCCAGACTCTGGGCTGTGTGTATGAGAGCTCCCCTTTTTTAGTTGGGTACCCCAGGCCTGGCTGGGGGTTCTTCTGAGACAGAGCTCAGCAGCTTTTCCAGATCTCCACGACTCCCAAGGCAGAGACCTCACCGGGATCCCAAGCAAGGATGGGAAACCCACGGGGTGGGAAGGAGGGGGCGCACATACCTCTCAGCCCCTTCCTGGACGTGCCATAAAGCGCCTCGTAGATCTGTAGCTCCGACTGGACGGCCTGGAAGAGCTGCTGTTTCTCGTCGCACTGTTGCTGCAGGAGGGCCAGCTTGTGCTGCAGCCTGCGGGGGGTGCGGTGGGGGGTGGGGGGGTTGCTGCCGAGCTGATGGGGCCACTCAGCCACATCAAGGCAGTAAACGGGGAGCCCACAGTTGCATCATGGAGTTTTAGCCCTAGCTGACAACTCGGGGGTCACGAAGAATGGGGCCACTCGGCCACATCAAGGCAGTAAGTGGGGAGCCCACAGTTGCGTCATGGAGTTTTAGCCCTAGCTGTCAACTCGGGGGTCACGAAGCCCATGGCTTTGATTTTATAGATGTGGACACAGAGGCTCGGAGGGGTACGGTCACCTTGCATGGCGTCCTGTCATTAGCTACATCAGCTAGGACACAGCAGCACCGCATCCTCACTGCTCTCCAGTGCTCTGTTCATGCTGACGAGCAGCGATAGGGTTCATGCTGGGGACTAGCACTGCGACTCATCTAGAAGATTCCTAGGTTATGCCGAGACCAATGTCCCACAATTGGAAGCACGAGAGCGTCCCTTCTCCAGCAGCTGACACGCCGAAGCCTTCTATAACAGGGTTTTACTTCTCAGCTTTGCAGCGAAAAAGGCATTCGCAGAGAAGTCTTTCCTTCTGCTCAAAGTCACCCATATATCAGGAATAGCAGTGGGGATACAGGGTTCCCAAAGGAGTCATTAACTGTCTTGCCAATACCCCTTCTTCTAAATCTAAAGATGGGGCCGCCTTCCTTTACCGGTGGCTCTGCTGACCTGGAGTCTTTCTCCTGGAGGGACAGTCGTTCCTCCTGGAAATGCGAGATCTCCTGCTGCTTCTCCTTCAAGTCTCCCAGCAGCTGCTGCCGGTCCACCTTCTGGTGCTCCAGCTCCACTTCCAGCTCTCGAAGCCGGGATTGCGAGGTCAGCAGAGCCTCCCTCAGGCACTCTGTTTCCTGGGAGTGCTCTGGGGAGCAGAACGCAGGAGCGTTTAGCTTGCAGGGCAGCAGGAAGATGAGCCCGAGCACATCCATCCTGACACACAGAACTAGGGCAAAAGGGAGGCCAGCTTATGCTGCAGCCACTGGGAGGCAAAGAGAGCATATCTACACAGCCTGGGGAATGGGGGACCTCCATCTCTGCAATGCCCTTGAGCCTTTGACTGAATAAGAACTACCTTGCTTTTAGAGAAAACACTCTGATTTCTAATGCTTAGCATTTTCTAAGTGCTCACAACCCTCTGTGCAATAATCCATTCCTGAATTTTGCCGAAGACCGACATTAAGATTTCCTGTCTACGGTTTTTAGTATATATTATTGTCATCATTTTGGAAATTGGGACAGCCTTTCTTTTCCAGCTTGCAGCAGCTCTCTGAACTCCATAATTTCTCAGAAATTATTGACAGGGACTCTGAGAACAAGACTGCAGGTGCCATCAGTCCTCTGGGGTGGAATTCACCAGGGCCTGGCAAATTATACTCGTTGAAATCTCCATTTTCTCACCAGTGAGATCTGTTCTAGTCCTTCCAGGCATGCAATGGTAGGTTAGTACTTCTGCCTTTTCTCTTATCTATTAACTCTGGTTATCTTCCCCAAGCAGTGAGTTTTCCACTCACTTCTTCTCGCTCTGAGGTGACTAATTTGGAAAGATCTGTTGAGGTCTTTTTCCTTTTCCATAAGCATTCCTTCATTCTGGGCTTAATCCTTTTGGACACTATTCTTAGTCTTTTGTGGCTATTCAATAAATATTTGTAAATAAAAATAATTCATTACGGATCATATTTTAATTTGATCAAGTCAGTTAACACTAAGGTCGGCTGCATCCCAGGCCACACAGGAAACGATCCCGCGGGGGACAGATCTGGGAAGGCTCTGGAGGACACTCTGCCAGCACCTGCAGACGCAGAGCCGTGGGCACTGCTGACCAGAGAGGAGCCTGAGTGTGAGCGAGGGGAGGGGGCGAGGAGACATGGGGACAGCTCGGCACGAGGAGAGACGCTGAGCCGCAGTGACGGCTGGGGGGCCTGGGAGGCTGTGTCGGAGCTCCCGCTCCTTCCTCTCCTGATTCGAATCAGCTGTGAGCTGCGGGGAGGTAGAGCCCATACCTAACGGTGTCCAGCCTGGTAGTGATGCCTCCGCGTATCTGCAGGCGGGTCTGCATGGTGGTGGGTTTCCTAGAACTCCACGTCCCTGGAGCCCAGGGGTCTGAGGGCCCATAGCTGGGACCTCTGGGGATGCAGCCCTTTCCGGCCTGGGAATAGCTATGGGCATTTGGGGTAGGTGGATCTGGGTAGCTCAGTTATTTCTGCATCCTCTCTTCACTTCTCCAGTTGGTGATTGGTGTGGTCAGGGAAGAAAGGGACCGGGGAGCGACCGCAGTTTGTGGCTTCCGGCCACCCACCTCTGGAAATGCGACTCAGCTGAGCCTGCAGGCTCTGGTTCTCTTCCCGAAGCGCCCTGTTCTCGTGCAGCTGTGGCACAGCCTCCAGGCCCTGACTGTAGAAGCTGGAGGCGGGTCCTGGCCCGGAAAGCAAAGCGGGCAAGTCACGCATTTGGGTGACAGGGGCTATCAAAAGACGCCATCCCACCCCGGCTCTACCACTGGCCAGGCACGTGCGACAAGGGCCCAGAGGAGCCCGCAGCGCATGTGAGCAGATTAAGGGCGGGATGAGAAGTCAGATGACTCTGGGGACAGACTTGGCGAGTTCGGCTGCGGGGAAAGTCCCTCTCTGAGCTGGGGTGCATCTGAGAAGTGGGGATAACCGCGCGCGCCCCCCGGCCTTGCCGGCCTTCGGCTGCTGCGGCGGCAAAGCCCAGGGCAGCACTTTGAACCTGCGGCGCCCGCCTACGGGCCCGCCCTCCAGAAGCTCCCAGTCAGGCCCAGAACTGGGCCGCGGGGCCCTCCTACCGCTCCCGCGGGCAGCCGAGCTGAGCCGGTGCTCCAGCTGCTCCCGCAGGCGGTCGTTAATGCAGATGGACTCCTCCAGGCGCTGGCGCAGGCTCCGGATTTCGCCCAGATGCTCTTCCAGCAGGTCGGCCCCTGCAGCCATCCGCCGGGACAGGAGAGAGGGTGGGGAATCTGGTCACCACGGGGCCCACGTGGGGCTGGGGCTCGGCCACTGGCCTCTGGGAGAGATCCCGCAGCATCGCCACCCCTCACCAACCCCGTCCTCGCACGCAGGCACCCGGGACATGGGGCGCTTTGTTCGAAGCGTAAACTGGCTCTCGAGCACGGGACCAACAGGTGTCACGGGGCTGAGCGGGGCTGAGCGGAAGCGGGTTTCAGTGTCAACTGCACAGTGACCAGTGGAACTGGTGAGTGTGAGGGAGCGCCGTGTGGTTTAGAAAAATAACTGAAGGCTGTGGGCATGGCCTGCTTAGTATCCGGAAAGGTGCAGCCACCTCTGAGTGTGACTTTGAGTGTGACAGAGTAGGCCTCACGCTACCATAATACCTCTCCTCTTACTGATACTTGACTGTACATTCTTCAGTGAGGGACAAAGCCCTTAGAGAGAAGGCCTCAGGTAGAAAAAAAAAAAGTACATGAACATAAACTCATCCTGTGTGGTTACTGAGCAGTTCTGAGCACTGCCCTCAAGTCACCCTTAATATGGACGGAAGGAAGGAAGGAAGGAAGGAAGGAAGGAAGGAAGGAAGGAAGGAAGGAAG